TCTAGAACGATGTATTTTAGTGATGACTTTAAGAGAATAGCCGAACCACCGTGGGCTTTACCGTCAGGATGGTTTGAAGTAATGAGATCGAATCCGTTTATTTTGGAAAAAGACTTAGAATTAAAGTGGGTTTCAGAAACTAGTAATATATCGACGTTGTAAGACTTTAAAAAGTATTCAATTTTCAATCTATGGTTACTCAGTCCGTTGGCGTTCCAAATTGCTATTTTAAGGCTTAATTGCATAACTTTGTTATGAGAGAGGACATCATATTTATTAATGTTGTGGTTAACTCAATTTGTTTGGCAATCATTTCTTCGAGTTTTTCTAATTTACCATTGCTGTTTGTAGTAGAACTATGTAGTCCCCTTGTGATATCTGCAAAGCTAACGTTTTTGTTGTAAAATTGTTGCTCAGCGTTTGAGCGATTACCTAAGTTGGGCCTTGGCTTATTATTAGTAGTGTCCCTTTTACATACTAACTCCTGATAAACTCTACAACCCTTGTAATTGGCGGTGTGATTTTGAAGACAGTGAACGCATTTTGGTGGAATGTCTTTATTTTTTTCGCAAAGGGAGGAGGGGTGGTCTAATCCACATTTCACACACCTAAACGGCTTTTTACAATACTGCTTGGTATGACCAAATTCTTGGCAGCGATGGCATGGTACCAAGTCGTTACATTTTTTAGGTGGCTCAATCTTAACTACAGCATTGCACAAGCGATTGACATCGTATACACTTTTATTGTTTGCAGAGGGCTCAAGGTCCACAAAGAATATTGACATCGGCATTTTAGAAATTTTACTTTTTGCATTCACCATATTTCGAACAGTATGCCCATTTTTAGCTAGCTCGTGTTTAATATCATCGATAGGGGTCGAAAAATTAATGTTTTTTATAACTAGTCGATATGGCTTGTCTTCTTTCAATTGGTATGTATGAAAAACAATATTATGGGAATCTAGATGGCTCACAAGTTTTCTGTAGCATTCACTGTTTGCAGTCATCACCCTTGCTTGTGCGTCACTGCCAGACTTGTAGGTGAAGTTTTCTCTACCAATAATAGCTGAAAAGCTGTTCACCATTTTAGTAATGCCATTTACTTGAGGTATGAAAATCGGAGGTGGTTTGTGATAAACTGCAGTAGTTTGTAATGAGTCTTCTTCTGCATTAGCGTTGAAGTCATCATTTGGCATGTTCAAATCCAGTGATGCAAACCGGTTTGAATTGTTTGGAGTTTCGTTGATCCTTTGTTGTTTTTTAATAGCTTTGGAGAGTCAATGTTTTTACGCTTTGTTGCTTTAGGCTGGTACGCGATTTGCCAGCCTTCACTGTCATCACGAGTACCGTTGGCTTTATTATCATCGGTCATGAAATAAATGTAATGTTTTTTGTTTTTGTTTTGTTTTTTCTATTTTCGTTCACACACTATTTGTTAACGAGAACAATACTTTGCATTAGTTATACCGGGAGCTTAGCGGTTATGACCGTACTCACCGAATACAAGATAGGAACTCCAAATCAGAATATGGTGTGCTTCAAAAGTTATAGCATAGTTAACTTTGCCCCTCTTAAAAATTACATAAAAAATTCACTTGTTTTCATTATTATTTTTTATTTAAACACCTATAATTCAAAAGTTGTGCAGCAAATTCATCCAAATTTTTTTTTAAGGCTTCAAGTATACGTCAATGAATTATATCCAAAAGCAACCAGCTTATTTAGTTTACAACAGTGAAAATAAAGCTAAATAACACCAAGGTTTCCTGTTTTTTAGATTTGCCCATATATTTTCATTTAATTTCTACTTGAAATTAACGAAATTTTCTTTTAGTATTCAAAGTCCTCGAACCACGTTAGCTTTTTTGCTCAGAAATCCACATTTAAATTATCCCAAAAAAGTTAAAGTACACAAATTTTACCAACTGTTTTCTTTCTTAGGGCCGTTAACTTTTTTCTGTGCTTTATGTTTCTATGTTGTTAAGCTCTAAAAAGTATCGCCCAATGAAAAAATGCTAAAAAAAAACATACCGAAGTTTTTATTATAAGAAATACAACACAGAAATTTTTTGCAGTGCATTACCACCAACACATTCTAATACATTCTCATTTTAAGACTTCTCTGTTTGGCTAGCACTGATTTAGAGCCAGTACTGGCTCGTGATAAATCTATTTTGCATGCAAACAACTGGCGTGTTTAACACGGCTCTCTTCGCTCTGCAACATTTTCTTTTATAGTTCCGAACCAGTTCTAACGACGAAAAAAGTAACATTCTCACGACATGCGGTTCTACGTACTAGAATGACTGGGGTTTTACCCGACCAAGGGCTGTTGTTTCGGCGATCTAACCCCGTTTATGTCGGCGAAATGCCCTGGTCAAAGCACCATCGCAAAAAAATTAGAAAAAAGGTTTTTGCTTAACAGCGGTCGCCCCTCGACAGGCAATGGCAAACCTCCGAGTGTATTCCTGCCATGAAAAACAGCTTCTCATGAAAATACAATCGCTTTTCGGAGTCGGCGTAAAACTGTAGGTCCCTCCTCTTCGTGTGACAACATCAAGGCGCACGCCACAAATCGGAGGAGAAGCTTGGCCAATCACTAACTTATGTGTAAGCGCCAATCTATTATTATTACTATATGATACTTATTACTATATGATTATTATTACTATATGATACTACAGGCTTTGTAAAGCTGAGTGATGGAGCGATACTCAGTTAAACAACTTGTAAAAATTGCCGAAACGTTTTATGTAAATGCGCGTTCTGCAAGAAGTACATTTCGCGTATTGCGGGATCCCTTTGGTAAAGATAAACAGCCATATTGTCAACAATCAGTCGTTTGGTGCAGAAATTCGAACTGGGTCTGTGAAAAACCTGGCCACACCCGAGCGTCTTCGCATGTGGAAGTATGGAGTAAAAGTATGGTCATGCCAATAAGCTCGAGACGATTCCAGAGCTTAAGAACGAAATCATAAGCACTAGAAATGGTATTTAGCCCGAACTAACGAAAAAGTGATGCTAAAATAAAAAAATTATTTAGAAAACTTGTGTTGTGTTTTATTTATGATAGAAAATCTGCGGTCTTATAGAATCACCCTGTACTACCCTGACAGGCCACTAGATCTATGTGTGAATTTTGACTTTGCGAATGCGGTTTATTTCATTTGAATAGGGGCCTGCAGATCCTGCCTTCATTATTATCGTCTGTGATACCTGGACCTTTGTTATTGCCGCTACACTTCTAAGCCCTGCGTAAATCGACTAGTGACTAGTCTATGAACAGTTGAGGCCAATTTCAACTAACGGCAGGTTCAGGAAACATATTATTTAACAGGATCGAACCAAAGACAAAGGGCGATTGGCTAGTGGGTTTAAGGGAAGCAACTGAGAATCGTGTGGGGTTGCCTTCACTAGCTGGACATATGCATATTGGGTGTTTTGGGGTGGGGCCTGAATAAGTAAGAGTTTAACATGTTACAGTATCCAAACCTTAATTGCGCCAGAGTCACTCGGGTTTCTCGATGAAGCTGAAGCTGTTCGCCTGCAATCGGTGGGGTTGAACTCCGATGACGGCATTCACGACGTTAGAGTTGGTAAACATGGTGGTTGTATCTCGGTGCACGTTGCTTAAGATCTAGAAGGTGGCTCTGCTTACAGCAAGTGTTTGGTCGGGTGTTTCCTGTTAGCAGCCGAATTGCTTTCTGGGAATAATGATAAATACATTCATACATACATATGCATGTTTTATGACGGGTAGCACTGAGGCCTAGGTATGAAGGCATCTCATTTTACCACGATAATAAGTTTCTTAATTTAAGAACTCTCTTGCACATTTTTTGGCTTCGCATCCGAATTTCAGCATTCCTTAAAATAGCCTTAAATTATAGCCCATAGAATGCAATTAAGTAATATGAACATTTGGCCATTATTTCAGATAAGAATACGAAAACAGCTATTAAATTCTCAAAAATATCCGTTTCAAATTACTGCAAAATAAATCGTAGATTTACTGCAATTGAGCTTCCCTTTTATGTGGGCAATACACAAGGCAAATTTTTCATATGAGCTTAGAAGTCTTATGGTAAATTCGGTATCAACATATAACTTCGGAACCAAAACTTCAAATTGGAACGGATTATCGTCTGTACAATTTCATACGTACATATATGTACATACATATGTATATGTTGTATGTTGTTTAGGTCAAAAAGAAAATAATTTAGGTGGTATGCGTTCGAATTTCTCCAAAAAAATTTCTGACACCCTAGCAAATATATATATATAATCTATGTGTTATGTATGTACGCATATTGATATTCTCGCACTCCAATGTCATATTGTTATCCACTTTAGACGAAAGTGAGGTTTTTAAAACTTTAACACTTTCATTAGGGCGATGCCAAGCACATCACATGCACCAGAAATAACAAAAACATCATCTTAATAATATTAACAACATAAAATTCAAGCATATGACGTTAATCCCGGCGACTGTGGCCAACACTTGGTACTTTTTCGGCTAAATATATTTGATGAAATTACCAGCCAGGCGTAACAAATGAGACCGCCGGCGTTTTGCCTTTGCGGGGTTAAGTGCATCAAAAAATCACTACAATCAAATTAGGGTGTGATGGCGAAACAATTGTCCCCAGAGAAAAATTTGTGCACAGATTGACGCGAGGCTTTAATGGCACCCTAATTGAATGTGTAAATAAATTTGTAGATTACTCACAGGGTCGGCAGCTACACTTCACTTATAGGTACGGAGGACTTAGAAAATAAGAGAATTGTGGCAGCGAATACGTGTACATATGTATGTATACGCATGTTGCATGCAAAGTCAACTGTACAAGTATATGTACAAGTTAAATATGTAAGAGGATAGAGTCGGTGAGAGGGCGGATAGTACAAAGAGTAATAGCATTTGAGCATTTGCAATTCAATAAAACAGAATTTAATTGAAACCAACTTAGCAAGTGTATTTATTTATTGCAGAAATACTTAGCACGCACACAAACAGAGTTTGCTATTCGCCACAGAATCGATTGGTCCCTTGGAGTCAGCATTCAACGGTGAATTCGGCTGTATGCGCTGAGCAGGCCGGATCCATGGCAACTGCGCGTTCGAAAAATCAAAACTTAGGCTTGATCTGTGTGGTCTGTGGAGATACCAGCTCTGGAAAACACTATGGGATTTTAGCCTGCAATGGTTGTTCAGGATTTTTCAAAAGAAGCGTTCGCCGGAAACTCATCTACAGGTTAGTTTGCTATTATTAGTTGCGTTCCAGATGCTTCACGATATTCACGAAATTCACGATTTGCAGGAACAGCTGTTTTCTCCATTAATAAGCCTTATGGGAGGTGGTCACCTGGAACGACTTCCTGTAAAAACCTGCAAATCTTGAAGCATCTGGAACGCAGCTATTGTTTCTATTTTATCGATTAATAAAGATTATGAGTTACTTTAGATCGCAATTATACTACTATGACTATACTTTTTTAAAGGCACAAATATTTATGAATTTTAGCCTAACCATAGATATGTAGTTATGCATGTTATATATGCCTGTATGTAGGTATGTATGCACATTAAGGCGTATCACGATAAAAAATTTAGCGTGTGCCAGTTTTATTTGAATATTTATGTCGAGAAAAAATTTTGGGTGCAAAAATTTTATTTTTATGCACCCGCTAACTATAACTTTCTTATTTGCTACCCGATTTTTTTAATTATTTTGTCACCGAAAAGGCCTCGCTCAGATCTGTAATTGAATAAAGCCTAATAATTTTTGGCAAGGTCGTCACCGTTTTTTTGAGAGCTTTAGATTTACAGTATGAAAACAAAAATCTAGGGATAGTAATTCCAAAATTAGTGTAGGTATAAATTAAAACGGGTTTGAAGGCCAAAACTGTTTGATGGCCAATTATAGTCCTGCGAGGTCTTCACAACGCCATATACCGATTTTAAAAATCAGACATAAAAAAAGAAAGTTTTAGCAAAAAACGCGATTAAGCGGTACACCCAAAATTTTCTCTCGACCGAACATTCGCATTCGCATTCACAACCGCGGAGCTTCCGCATTCATTTTAACATTTACATTCGCTTTCGCATTCGTAATAATCAATGCGGAGCTTTTACGAATGCGAATGTTGTAAAAGTGCACCGATAAAACGTATATATGGCAAACAAAATGACAAATTTTAGCCAATATGTTTTGCCTGTGGTCGTGTTACCCGGGCGCCGCACATTGGAGTATTTGTGTAACAAAACTGGTCAAATGTCATATAGAGATAGATATAGAATTTTGATAAAAGTGTCTCTAAACATATTATTTCTTAAGCTATATAACCGAGCTATCAATGGGCAGTCATACAAGTTCCCACTTCTACTTGACTTTTGACGTACGTCAAAGAGAACTTTGTCCTTTTAATAATATTTTTTTTTTGTTTTCTGTGTTTTTTTTTTTGTTTTGCAGGCAGCATTGGTTTCTTTTTTTACTATGATTTTTCTGGACCAATCTTAAAAAAGCTACTAGAAATGAAAGAACTAAGTGTGCACTGTAATTTTAAACCAAATTTTCGTGATTTGCTTTTGATGTTACATATATTTTTTTCAATCATTTCAAATGAGGCTCTTTGGGGAATTTATTTTTAGCAAACATTTCAAAAACAGTAATTTTGTTTACTTGTCGGACAATATTTTTTTCATATGGATATACATACATTGGATCCTTAGCTAAAAACTTCTGTGGTAAAACTCTCCCGGTATGCCTTTGTTCTTTGCTATTTAAAGTCAAAGAGTAAGTTTCTTCAACGGGGATTTCCAGCAGAAATGATGAACGCTTGCCTATAAAGAGAATCGCTGCTCAAATAATTAAAAAGCTATAGGTCTGACCTTTAATTAGGTAAGAATTACGTAACTATCTGAGACCCTCATCATCCGTGATTACAATAATTAATAATAAATAAGCTATAGGTCTGACCTTTAATTAGGTAAGAATTACGTAACTATGGCTGACTTCCAAAACGTATCAATACAATGTTTGGAAACTGTTATACTGCGATATTCCAACTGTTTGTATATGCAGAGTTGCGACACATTGCAACAATATACACTGCATTTTTAATTTATTCAATATAGCAATGTATTAAGATAGAATAATGTAATCTTACCCTTCGACGTCGGCCATTGTTTACTTCAAAATGTCATGAAAGTATCAATTAGCTTAGCGATGCGCAGTTTGCTTCTGTATACGCATTGATAACTTTTACGATACATTTTGGGGCATGTCACATCGTCAAAAATTACACATTTGCATTTAGGAATGCGTGACTTTGTATAGTTGCTTTGCAACTGACGTTTTGGAACTCAGCCTATCTGAGATAAAAATATAACCATATTCTGATCCGATTCGGCTGGCAGCCACGATTTAGTTAAAAAAAATTTTCATTCCTGGAAAATAATAATTTATTTTCCATATCTACCTATATATTTAGCTTACTCCAAGCACAAATTACTTTATTATAAAAAATTAAAATTACAGTGCACAGAAGAAGCATTGAAAATGAATTACAAAAACTAAATACGTTACAGGTACCCCAAATTCTGAAACAGCCAAAGGAATGAGAATGAAGAATACTTTTTAAAAAGCTTTGGAAAAACCTGACACATCTGCTTTGGCTTGTAAGCGGTGTTTAAACAACGATCTCGCCGTTATGCTAGATTCTTCAAGTGGAGATTAAAGTTAGGAGGATACATCCTATATTTTCATCCTCAATGCAATTCTCATTACTTTTTATTTAATATAATGTTCCAGTTTTTAAATTCAAGTACTAAATAAAATAAACATTATTAAAAATTACTAAGTTTTCCATTTTTTTATTTTCCTAAATAACTTAATTTAATTTTTTCTTAAAAATACTTGAAATCCGCATCCGCGGATGTTAGCTGTTAGACATCCGCATCCGTATTCGCATCCGCGGATGTCTAAAATTCCACATTCGCAACACCCCTACTACACACATACTATTTATGCATGTACACTTCTGCATAAATGCATATCGTGTAACTTTTCAATTCCAAACACTGCAATTTTTTCTCTATACATTATATTATGCCCGTTGTTATTCTCATGTTCTGCATACACTTTCGAATGATTAACAGGCAGATTTCCTCAAAAGGGATGAAAAAAAAAGCTGGCATCACGTATTCGTTGAACTAAATTTACACTCTATGCATTCCGATAATCCATGGCTTCTGAACGATATTCTTACCATCATCCCCTACAAATAAGTCAAATGGTTTATTCCTGCAGACTATGTTATTTGGTCACATTTGGTTAAGTGTATTCTTCATAAGCTCCATATCAATCTCTTGGGAAGGGATAAAGTGAGTTGACATTTGCGATGACTAAAGGGAAATAGTAATACATGCTGGAATAAAAAAATTTAATTTTAATATTAGGAAAACGGGGTTTGACTTTATCCTTTAATGTTTTTTTTTATTAAATACGTACGCCGTATGATTCTACTATGCGGCTGCTTAAAGAGTTTTTGAAATTTTTATTTAGCTTATGAGCATTTTTTTCAGTTTATGTTTGTTTTATTACAAGCTTTTATTTAATTTGCTCATCCCGCGGAAATTTTCAATCGATTTTGAACTAACTTCCCGGAATGCGATAGACTTCAGCCACAATTACACTGCAATTTAAAATATAAATTGATTATCTAAATGGTCTAGGTGCCCCGATCTCAAGACGGGCCAAACTTAGTATGATTTACGGCTAGCCCAGCATAATTTGACAAAGGACGTAAAAAACGCCCCAAGTTATTTATATCTGCCGGCGTTAGAAATATAGTTTCAGACACTGGTATGATCGATTCTATTGTGAATTATTTGAAATGTTTTACAAGGCCCTACCTTTAACTTTCTTATACTTATACATGTGTAAATTTTGCATGGTCTTAGGCATCTCTGTTAAGAATTACATTAGTCGTGGTTTCGTACTTTCCATTAAAGAACTATCTGGTAACTTTCCAGTAAGCGAATTTCTGAAAGTAACGCAACATTTACTCCCAGTGAGAGAAACATGCAAGAAAGTATGGAAATGCAAAACGTATTATTTTTTCATCTCATTTCATTTATTAACTTGTTAAATGCAGTAAACCGCGAGCTCCTTTCAGTGTACAAATAATCCAGAAAAATTACAAAATTAACTTCAACTAAAATCAAATTAAATAAAGTACGGAATAATATAGTAATAGTAGCAACAGTAATTAAATTTAAGTAACACTTTACGAATAAAAAAAACAGATATACCTATATAATAAATAAAGATAACGGTTAAGAAGAGGATTTTTTAGGTAAGTTAAAAGCATATAAACATTGTTATACATTTTGAAGCATATAAACATTCTTATACATTTAGCTGTGGCTACCATTATTTTCCTATACAATTTTCTAAGAAAAATAGTATTTCCTGTCTTATTATATGTATATTTAAATAGGTTTATTTTATTTATTGAAACTACAATTGTTTTGTTAGTGCGAAGTGCACTAAGCATAATGCCATCAGCTGCTTTCTTACTGGCAAATAGTTACCATGATACAAATATTTAAAGGTAGTTTCACTTCTTCTTCTTATCCGCCATTGCTCCCATTTGACGTAAACTGTGCTTTTGACGTTTTCTTTTAAATTGAAGCTACCATATTCTTTGAAGAAACCAAAAAAGTGGTTTTTTACTTAAAGAAAAAATTATTCCAAAATTATTTCAAGGAATATATTTTGAGCATCATTTTATAGCGGCCTTTTAGTGGTTTATTTCTAAAATTAATTATAAAACGGAAGGCTAGCAAAATACTCCTATTACATTGCGTAATGCACATGGATAATATGTTTGTTTATGCAATTATTTTCATCATTATTTAGTACGATTAGCTGCATATTTCGGGATGGCCACGTGCATGGTAACTTCACCAAGGAGTTGTTTGCTTGTTCCAACAGCTTTTCGGAGGAAAATTTTCAGCCTCGGGACGGATGTGCCCAATCTAAGCGAAACGCTGCACCAGCAGCAGTAGAGCGAGTAGTTTATCTGTCTATAAACTAAAACAAGGAGCTCTAAGAATTTGTAAATTTTTTACCTCCCTCTAAGTTTATGCTTCCATAGTGCTTTCATTGACGATATGTTACTTGTTAACTATTCCTTTGTTCATATGTCCTCTAAAAAGGATCCAAATTAAAGCAACATCCTAATATCT